CCTCCCTAGTGCTGGAATTAAGGGTGTGGGCTGCCACCACAGCAGACCAGTCATTGCTTCTTGAAATAGAATCTGTGTGTAGTTCAAACTGGCCTTCTGCTTGTGATTCTCCTGATGCAGCCTACTAAGTACTGGGATGACAGGAGATTCGCAGTTTTGTTTTGTTTCTATTGTTATCACGTGATAGCATCATTATAATTCTTTAGTTCCAATAAGCCTTGGCATCAAAATCATTGGGAGCCTCTCCTCTAGCATTAATCTCCTGGTACCAGAGGGGGCCTCAAATTTCATAAAATCTTTCAAACTGAAGCCCAATATAATGTAGTGTTTATGCTTAAAAATTCTCTTAACGTTACTATTCAGTTACATAAAAAGTATAATATACTGTTGAGCTGGCAATATGACTCAATGGGTAAAAAGTACTTGCTGAGCAAACCTGACTACCTGTGTTACCCATGTTCAGGTGGAGAGAGAGAACCCACTCCACAAGTAGTCATCTGATTTCCACAACGTCGTCATGGCATGTGCACCTGCATCCACCCACATGGCCACACAATATTTTTAAAATTTAAAAGTGTTACATGTTACGTACTATAAATATGAAAGGTTTAGATTATGGTCTCCAAGCGGTTAGTGATGTAAACGGGTATTGTCAACGTGCTAACTGCAAGTCTAAGTGGCTGGCATCAGGACAGTACCGTGCGTACAGTCCCTTTTTTTTTTTTTTTTTAAGCTTAGCATTTGTAATTGATTACATGAACCATCTGTAACTGCTTGTGAATCATGTTACAGTTACCCCACTGACATTTACCCAACATTTTTCATGTGGCAAAATGTTTAGTGTAGGAAAGCTGACACATAAGAGCTTCAATGTTTCAATAAATCAACTTTAGACACTAGGCTATAGGCGCATCCCATTGATGTGGAGTCTCCGCAAAATTATGGCTGATGATTTCATTATAACAACGCTTCATCCTAAGCTTCCTGTGTGTAGACAAAATTATTTGTTATCACCAAGGTAACTTGGCCCCACTGTTGTTATGAGACAGGATGAGCGGGTGAGCGGTCAAAAGGGGTGAGGACCGAAGTGGAGGAAGACGAAAAACAACCTCTGGGGGCAAGAGTCTATGAGGGAAGTGGTTCGCCAAGTAGAGGCCGACCTGAGCTCCTCTCCCTGGATGAGCCACCTGTCACAAAGGAGGAGCCCGAAGGGACCCCAGATCGGTGGAGGGGAACGGCCAGGCCGGAGCGAAGCTGCGAGGCCCAGGCTGTCAGCCAGGGGGCCAGGCTAGACCGGGAGGGGAGCTCACGTGGTCTCCCGAACACCGCGGGGAGTCGGAGGGGGTGGTGCGGTGGAGAGGAGGCCAGCGCGGCCCTCCCCGGCCTTCCAGCTCCTCCCTCCAGGCACGTGACGCCTGCGTCCGCCCGCCCGCTCCCTCGCTCGCTCGGTGGCGCAGCGCTCTGTTTCGGCCCTCCCGCCGTGGCGCCCTTCTTCTCCCGGTCCCGTCCCGCCGCCTCCCCCACTCTTCCCCCACGCGCCAATCACTGCTCGAGCTCGCGAGCGCCCGCCCCTCCAGCCCGCTCCGCCCTCTCCCATTGGCTGCAGCCTCAAGGACGCGTCCCGAAGGCGGGCGGCCACCATTGGTGGGCCGAGCCAGCCGAGTTCCCGGATGAGGGAACATTCTGCGGTATAAAGGGCGCGAGGAAGGCGGGAGACGGCGCAGTTTGAATCGCGGTACGACGGAGGAGTGGGCGCCGGGATCTCGCTGTGCGTCCGCCTGGCCTCGTCTCTCCCTCTCTTGTCCGATCTGCAGCACGGTCCGAGATGGTAACGTGAGAGTGACGCCGGGCGGCCGCGGGCCGCGGGCTTCGAGCGGGCGGGGCCGCCGTCCCCGGGGCTTGGGGCGAGGCGGCGGCGAGTGGGAGCGTGCGGAGACGGGGTCTGGACGAGCGGAGGGAGGTGTTTGTGTGAGCCCGGAGCTGCCGGGCCGGAGGCGACGGTTGGGTGGCGCGCGCGGCGCCGCTGGGAGCCGCCGCGGGGGCGCGCAGCCGCCGCGGGGGCGCGGCGGGGGTCGGCGGGGGGGAGAGGGCGGGGGCGAGCGGCGGGCCGGGAGACCCCGGCGGGCCGCGGGCGCGCGCTTGCCTCCGGGACGCTGCCGTGGGGGGAGGGGTGCGGCGCCTCGGTAATTCTATCCTCTCCCGTCCCTCCCGGGCTCGCGGGCGTCGGCGGCGCCGCAGGCTGGCGGTAAGGCTGGAAAGGACTCCGGAAAGGCCAAGACAAAGGCGGTTTCCCGCTCGCAGCGAGCCGGCTTGCAGGTAGGTAGCTGCCGCCGCAGCCGCAGTCGGGTGACCCGGCCTTTATCTTTGCACCCCCTTGCTTGTTTGTCGGCGCCTTGCATGGGTGTTCCATCTTTGCGTGGGTGATGTGTCGCGACTTGGCCTGCAGAGACTGAATGTTGGGGTTGGGGGGGGGGGCGTCGATCGCGTGTTACTGCCAGGGCGCGTTGGCGCACCACCGTCCTTGGCTTTGGCGCGCACATCTTTTCATCTTTGAATCTCCAATCTTTGTGCGTTTTTGTTTGTGTGCATGAAAATCAAGTTCCCTGTGGGCCGTATTCATCGACACCTGAAATCTAGGACAACCAGCCACGGACGTGTGGGCGCGACCGCCGCTGTGTACAGCGCAGCCATCCTGGAGTACCTCACCGCAGAGGTAAACCGGGAGTACGCCTGTGATCTGGAAAAGGTTTGGGGGGCGGGGGAAAGTGGCGAGAAGGAAGGAGGAAAGTGATGCAAGAAAACTCCCAGGCCCTAAGCCTGGCGCGGAGGCCGAGGGAGCGCTAGAGGGAGCTAGTGTTCAGCCAAGGATCCTGCTGAGCCAGAGTTTGCTGCTCTTGCAAAAGCAATTGAGTGGCCCTTCAGTCCTTTGCATAATTTGCATAATTTTGTCATTCAGGTAGTAGGGGGATGACGACAGTTGGTAGATTAAACACCACTGAGGTTTGGCCAGCTTCATGGATCCTGACCGAAGGGAAGTTGGGAAAGTGATCAGAATTTTGCCTTTTAGGTACTAGAGTTGGCAGGAAATGCATCAAAAGACTTGAAGGTAAAGCGTATTACCCCTCGTCACTTGCAACTTGCTATTCGTGGAGATGAAGAATTGGACTCTCTGATCAAGGCTACAATTGCTGGTGGTGGTATGTTAACACTGAAACTCATTACATTTCCATTAAGAAAATTCTTAAATTTTCATTACTTCTAGAAGAAGACATTTAAGTATATTCTGATAAATCATGGTGGATTTATGAAATTTGGTTTACATTTACATCACTCAGGTTTTACTTTTCTATTTGAACGCATGTTTTTTAAAGACCTTTCAAGTTGTAGAGTTATCTGCTTTGATTTCATGTACTGTTTTAAAATGTTTCTACAGAAAGTAGAATTAATCCTGTCACTCTCCTAGGTGTCATCCCACATATCCACAAGTCTCTGATTGGGAAGAAAGGACAACAGAAGACTGTCTAAGGATGCCTGGATTCCTTATTATCTCAGGACTCTAAATATTCTTAACAGCTGTCCAGTGTCGGTGATTCCAGTGGACTGTATCTCTGTGAAAAACACAATTTTGCCTTTTTGTAATTCTATTTGAGCAAGTTGGAGGCTTAATTAACCTTCCAACCAACCAAATTTCTGCATTCGAGTCTTAACCATATTTAAGTGTTACTGTGGCTTCAAAGAAGCTATTGATTCTGAAGTAGTGGGTTTTGATTGAGTTGACTGTTTTTAAAAAACTGTTTGGATTTTAATTGTGATGCAGAAGTTATAGTAACAAACATTTGGTTTTGTACAGACATTATTTCCACTCTGGTGGATAAGCTCAATAAAGGTCATATCCCAAAACTAGTTTTAAACTTGCTTAATGAATGTGTCTCCTAGATCTCCTTCAGTTCTCAAGTACATTCTGTGCTTACTAATTAAACTGTTCATCTGTAGATCAACAAGTCATAACCAATTTTGTCATACAGTGAACTGTTAAAACTTCAGAAATTTGGCAGAATGGGGAGGAGGCATCCTGTTTATTGTCCTTTGGACAGTTCCAGTAATGTGAGAAAGGCACTGTATCGCAATGTGAGACAGCCAGAGCGTTAGAGACCCTCAGGGTGTAGCAGTATCCCCACAGATTGAATTTGAGATGTGGAAGATAATCCTGCTTTGACCAGACACTGCTGTTCTGTGTGAAGTGCTAGTCACTGGGGATGCAGTATTTTCATAGACAAAGGTAACATGATGAAAACATTGATTAAATACCAGGCATGTATGTTCCTTAAGAACTTAGGGAAATGTAGACATTGCTATTTATTTACCCCTTTCCCCCTCACGGATTACACGACTCGCAGGGTACTTCCTGAGGCAAAACAAACATTGGAACGGAGGTGCCAATCAGCCTATATAGGTGAAAAGCGCTTCCTGCTATTAGTTACAGCTGATTTTAACTTGCCAAAAGAGCTGCATTGTACCTGCCCATTGTACCTGCCGGGCAGCAGGAGAGATGTGGGTCAGAAGTGCCACTGAGAAGGGCAGGGAAGCGTTGGGGGTTCCACAGCTCGGAATGGCCTGCGGGACCCTGCAGCAATCCTGCCCCTAACAGGCCTGAGGCCTCTCCAGACCTCAGGGCCCAGAGGCGGGGCCTCGGGTCCTTGGGAATCTAACCGAAAGTGCGGGTCCCCTGTCCCCGCCCCGATGGCGCGGAAGGCGGGCTCCGGGGCCGCGCCGGAGGTTAGGGGCCGGGACCTCACCCCCCACCCCCCTACACCGCGATCTGCCCGCTTCGGCCGGGCCCCGGAGTGCGGCAGGCCCGGGAGGGACGCGGCTGGCGCCGCTGCGGCCGCGGGGGGCGGGGAGGCGGCCGTGAGGAGGCGGAGCTGCGAGGCCGCCCGTCGCCCGGCCGCCGCCGCCGCTGCCGCCGCCGCGGTGCCCGCTCCTCCCCGCGCCGTGCCGCGCCGCGCCCCGCCCGGCCGCCTCGCCTCCTCCGCGGCGGGCCCCCCTCGCAGCTGCGCGGCCGCCGACACCCAGGCAGGCGCGAGCCATGGAGGGCAACCGCGACGAGGCGGAGAAATGCGTGCAGATCGCTCGCGAGGCCCTGAGCGCCGGCAACCGCGACAAGGCCCAGCGCTTCCTGCAGAAGGCCGAGAAGCTGTACCCGCTGCCGGCCGCGCGCGGTGAGCCCCGGCCCCCGCCGTGACCCCGGCCCCCGCGCCCTCCGCCCCGCGGGCCGCGGCCGCGCCAGCCCTCGGGGACACAGGCGGGGCGCTGCGGGGTGCTGGGTGACGGGTCCCCTCCCCAGATCAGCCTAGGCCCCTCTGAAGTGACAGGAGCGGGACTCCAGTGGCTTGTGGGCTTCACCATCCCTGGGCTCTGTATGTAGCTGTTCCTTAAGTCTCTTCGAATACCTTAGATGACACTGCTTTTCCCCGGGAGAGGGAGAGTCCTTTGCTTCCTTTGCAAGACAGCTCCCCTTTGACAGGGATGGTGAAGTTATTAATGGTTTCGAGTGTCTGGCTTGATAGGACACCGTAAGTACCCGCAAGTTCCGTATGGACTTAGCCCACTTTAATTCACCTTATTCATTGTCTAACTCTCTAGGCTTCGAAGTAATACAGTCAACACAACACTCACAAAGCGCCAAGAGTTGTGCCTAGTATTTTAATGACCCTCATTTATTCCTTAGAACAGTCCCATGTACAGGTGCAGGATTATTTGACCAGGTTAACCCATGTGCAGAGACTTTGGCAAAAGAATGAATGAATGAATGAGTGAATGAAAATACCTTGCCCAAGGTCGTACAGTAAGTGGCAAAGTCAGAAGAGTAGCTGAGTTTTATCTCCAAAAGGCCTTTAACTACTGTCGTTTTGCCTTGCCGATGGGATGACATTTTACTGTGGGTTAAAGTATTTCCAGGTTAAGAGAATTAAGAGGAAACTTAATAAACAGGGCCTCTGTTTGTCTTTATTGTTTTCTTAATTCTTTTTACATTGTTGAAGCCTTTTGTTTCTGCTGCTTTTCACTTTATCTTTTTGTTACATTGGATTAGGACAGAAGAAAAGTTTATTTTCATTGTAAAAAGTGCAACATAAAATTTGTTATTCTAATCATTTTTAGGTGTACAGTTTAGTAGTGTTAAGTATTTTCGCATCGTGCACCACAGGATCTGTACTTTTTTATCTACACCCTGGAAACTGTACCAGTTAAACAGCCCCTTTACCCTCTTTCCTCTACTTCCTCTTTCCATAGGTTAGACTAATCAGTATCTGATCTAAGAAAAACCATACAGAATTTGACCCTGTGTGCCTGCCTTATTTCACTTAGTTACTTCAGAGTTCATCTATATTGCAACATTTGAGAGATTTCCATTTAAAAAAATGCTAAACAACACCCCACTATTTATACACATGTGCGCATCGGTGTGAGTGTGCACACTCACATTCACATCACATTTTTGGGGGTGGTTACTTATTGTGTGTGTGGGGGGGGTGGGGGAGTGTTATGTATACATGTGCCATAACGCACACGTGAAGATCAGATGGCGACTTGGGGGGGGAGGTTCTCTCCCTACACAGTTGTAGGGGTTGACACAGTCTGAGCCCTCTCATGCTACATCACAGGTTTTTATTCACTCACCTGTCAGTTTGGGTTTCTTCCACTTCTTGTCTATTGTGAATAATGCTCCTGTGAGCATGAGTGTCTACAGCCTATTTTCACTTCTTCATATATACCCAGAAGTGGGATTATTGGGTCATGTATTAATTCTAATTTTGAATTTTGAGGAACTACCACATTGTTTTCCAGAGCGACTGCACCATTTTGTACAACATGCACTGGGTTCTAGTTTCCCAGTGTCTGATACAACAGGACACCCCCAGTTTTTGTTTGTTTTCATAGTGACTCTTCTAGTGACTATCAGGAGATACCTCACTGTACTTTTTATTGCATTTCCCTGATGATGAATAATGTTGAACAATTTTCATGTGTTTATTTGGCCATTTGTATATTTTTTGGAGAAATGTCTTAAGCTGTTTGCCCAGTTAAAACTCAGACTGTTTTCATTGATGTGGTTATGGGCTCTTTATATATTTGGGACATTAACTCCTGGACATCTATAGCTTGCATCTTCTCCCTCCTTCTGTAGGCCATCTTTCCTTCCTGTCAATTGTCATTGGGAGCTCGAGCTTCATGGAGTCAGTCTCATTGGTCAATTCTTGCTGTTGTCTGGGCTTTTGGTACCATATCCAGGAAATTATTCTTAAATCCCTTCTACTGTGTAGATCTATTTCAATGAGTTGTCATCTGGTCCTGGAGGAACAATTTTAACATTAAAGTAGTAGATACCCTAGGCAAGGTAACCTGCTTTGCAGGCCTGGTTCGTCACCAGCCAGCTTGCACCCTTGGTCAAGGTAGACATCCTCTAGTCCTTCCTTTCTCACTCGTGCAGCAGGGGCAGTGTACTGACCCATGGCACTCTGAGGATAAAATGAGCTGATAAAAAGCATCTAATAAATTTTTACTCTCCTCTCCGTTTTACAAGTGGAGTCATCTAAGAATCTTTAAAACTAGCCCAGATTTACAGCTGGTCATGCTTCGGACATGTAAACAGCTGGAATGAATCTCATAAAGGACACTGTAAAAGTACATCATTATTGCTCTGAAAGTCATGAATGTGGGGGAAATGAAGACATGGAAGAGAGAAAGTCAGGTACAAAGGTATTGCAAGGATGATGGGTAATTATCAAATGAAGTGGTAGGGTGTAATTGTGGAGTAGTCTAAAAACAGTTCAGATGCAGACTTTGTCTGCCGTCTCTATAACCAGGGACACGATATTTAGCTATTCTAAGCTTTAATTATATGTGAAATGAAGATGTCATCCCAGAGTTGATGTGACCCAAAATAAAAGCAGTGTGACTGTTCTGTGAAAAATGTCTTTACATAGAGTATTCCCAGGAGATGTTTATGGGAATTAAATAAGAACTCAGGAGAGAGAAACATCTGGAATCTTTATGAAAGACCCTGATAGAGGAGGTTTTGTATAGCGGGAAATTGGAGCTTTTGGGTCATGACTACCAAACTAACAGCTCAGAAGTTGACTGGATAGTCTTTGGATCTGCTTGTACTGAGGCAAAAGAAAACACTGTACTTTCACTTCCATTATTCTTCCATTATGATGAGTGGGGAACCACAAGAATAAATTCTAGTTATACTCCAGGACTTTCATCCTCTTAGTATTTCCTATCAAGTAAGAAGGTAATCTGATAAAACACTTTAATAAACTGACAAGCTCTTTCCTTGAAGAAAAGTTTGATATCGAGATGGATGAAGGATGCTATTGCTTTCCATGTTTCAGTTGAGACTGTTCTTTCCAGTGTGGTTATTGACTAGCACACATTTCAAATGCTCATGCTCTGAGTTACATTTGTATATTTGCTTAATGGATATGGTTTAGCATTTAGTAGAAGGATACAGTATTACTGTTTTGAGGTTTTATGCACTTTTTTTTAAAATTTATTTTTATTTTATGTGTGTGAGTGTTTTGCTTGCATGGGCCCTTGGAGATCAGAAGAGGGCATCAGATTCCCTGGGACTGAATTTAAGGATAGTTGTGAGCCTGGGACTGAATTTAAGGATAGTTGTGAGCCATTATGTGGGTGCTGAAACCAAACCCAGGTCTTTTGCAAAAGCAACAAGTGCACTTAACCACTGATTTTCATAGTAATTGGGAGGTAGTTTGAAGTGTAGATTTTTTTCTTTTCTATTTGCCTTCTTCTTCCCTTCCTCCCTCTCTCCCTCCCTCCCTCCTTTCCTTCCTTTTTCTTTCTTTCTTCTTAATGAGACAGATCTCACTCACTGTATCTTTGGCTGGCCTGCAACTCACTATGTAGACCTTGAACTCACAGAGATCCACTTGCTGCTGCCTCCCAAGTGCTGGGATTAAAAGCATGTGTGCACAACCATGTCTGGCAAGTATAGATTTTTCTTTTTCTTTTTTTAAGAGAAGAGCATTTTTATTCTTTTCAAGAACATGGTAGCAATTTGAATCAAATGATGGCTTACAACTACAGAAAAGCTCATTCAGTATCCGCTGTAATGAATGAACAGATAAGTTTAAGTGCATGGATAATCTGTACATGCTACCTGCTTAATAATAGTTAATGTAATCCTTTTAGTTTATTTTCAACCATATGAGAAATGATGCATTTTTTTTCTGCCTTTTTTTTGTCCTTTTACTTTGTATTTAATACAAAATTGAAAATTGTTTCTCCTTTTGTCTCACCTAAACTGATAAGGCTTTTTAAACATCATGTGCATCTGAATCATTCATTATACATCCTATTTCCTTTAAGATCTTTCTATTCTTTTCCTAATTGGCTTAATTAAAATTCAGTGATGAGAACATTTAAAACAATTATTTCTGTATCATCCAGTTAAGTGTTAGAAAATGACTTTCAAATTTCCATTAGTAGTGAAACTATTTCAGATGTGAGTGCTGAGGAAAGAGCATTGAGTTGACTTTGGGTTTGAACTTACGCTTTCGATATAAATCTCCACTTCTCTTCTAAACAATGAGAGTTTATTTATTCAACAGATATTTATTGGACATATACTTCTCTGTGCCATGGAGCATTCTGGTTTTTTTGTTTGTTTTGTTTTTGTTTTTTTAAATGTTATGTGTTTGGATGTCTTTCCTGTATGTATGTCTGCACCATGTGTGTGCCTGGTGCTCTCAGAGGTGGGAGGAGAGCATCAGATCCCCTTGAAGTGCAGTTTACAGACACTTGTGAGCTGAGCCATCTCCCTAGTTCCTGGCAGTATTTTAGGCACTAGGGAGTAAGTAGATATGACAAAAATCTTTTTTCCTGGCATTTACATTCTAGAGGAGAATTAAGTATCTGGTGGATGTAACAATGATAGTGTGATTTCCATAGTTTCATATTCCTTTTTTTTTTTTTAAGATGGGATCTAGCCTCCAACTCTTAGGTAGCTGAGGATAACTTTTAACTTCTGATCCTCCTGCCTCCACTTTTACACTGCTGGGATTATATATGAGCACCACCACACCTGGTTTGTGTGGTTGCTGGGGGTCAAACTTAGAGCTTCATGCATGCTTGGCAAGTACACTACCAAATTAGTCATGCACCCAGCCCACCTTCCATTTTTGAGCCTCATATT